ATTTTGATTTTTATAAATAAATTCTAGGTTTTTGCATCAAATTCTGAGTCTTCATAGTTCATTCATGACGTTATAGATGAGCAAGCATACATGCGATTGACTGCAATAACTGTGTTGCTCTTCCACTTCACTTCATCAATTTGGTACATTTTTGAATCATGTTTTGGATGAAAAATTTATTACTTGAATCGATAGTTGATTGAAATAGAGGGATTTTCTGGGAACGGAAAGCGAAACAAACTATTTTATGAATGCTCAATTATTAAACATTTTTAAAGCTTGTGGACAATTGGAAATTTAATGACTGTATTTATTAAAAACCAGTAAGGAAAAGTCAAAAGTCGGGCGGGGCCGATTATATGGTACCGTACACCACTATGTGTATTTAGTAGAGATCCCGCAGTAAAAGAATTTATTTGAAGAAGATCATACCACCTATCAACAATTGGCTTTAGAGCAGTTATGATGTGGCTTCAGAAGAAACTAATATATGGGAGGTACATCCAATTCAGAATCGATTTTCACTAAATTTGACGGCGGCATTTTAAGTTTTTATACCAAACATTGCTATAGAGTATATGGAATCACTTCGAGAAGGATTATATTAAAAAAAAATATGTGCCGCAGCCGAGTTGCACAAAATGGAAACGTACGTCTCAAAATTCACTCCATTTGGGCTTATATTAGCCATTATTTGCACAAAAAAACTGAAATCGGATAAAGGATATACAGAGTAAAATAAATAACTGCAACAAAGTCAAACGACATAATTTTTACATTTATTTAATTTTTTTGAGTGACAGCAAAAAATGTCGGAAATAGCATCAAATTTTAGAATAAGTTTAGATTTGTTTGAATTGGTCACCTTTGGCACGAATTATGGCCTTCAAACAGCCAATGAATCCTTCACACGCTGCTCGATTTTTTAGTGCCAAGGTTGGCAAAATACTCCAGACACAATAGTCCAACGGATGGAAATGAAGCGAGGAACCTCATTTTGTAACCATCCTTGCGTGGCACATCCTGTTGGAATGTCTAGGGTTTGCGGCCAAAATATTTATGTGCCCAAGGCTTTAATATTCCCTCAAGAATATTTTCGCGATAATATTCGGCATTTATACTGATGCCGATTAATACGAGCGGAGAGCGACCATCAGCTGTTATGGCGGCCCACACCATCACCATGGCCAGCGCTTGAGTTCTGGTGGCCAACCGAAGGTGCACATTTTCAGCTGACCTATTTGGCAAGTAATCACGATCATTTTGTTTGTTTACAAACTGTTGGGCAACGATTGTCGGAGAAAACTAAATTCGGCAGTTCACCACTTTCGGCCAAGCGAAGCAACTCTTTAGCTCTTTTGAGTCTATTTTCTTTCTGTTGCGGTGTATGTTCTTGCACTTTTTGGAATTTCAATGGCTTTACCCCGAGTTCAGTTTTCAATATTTCCCGAATGAAATCTTGCGATATGCTCAGCTCACGAGCCATTTTTCGGCCTCTGCGACGCAGGTTTCGATCAAGTCGCTTCTTTACTTTTCGAACCATTTCTGCTGATGTTGTTGTTTTCTTCCGTCCACTTCCCTGACGTCGGGCTACGCTACCAGTATCACGGTAACGAGCGATGGTACGAGACACAAAAGATTTATTAGCATTTAAATGCTGGAGTGCTCTAACGATAGCCACTTGTGGTTTTCTAGCTAAATATAAAGAAATCACACTATCACGCTTGAATTCCATCACGAATAACTTTTTTTCTGGAAAGCTTTCACCAAAATGCTTTTGTACGCTTGTAAACAATATAATGAGCTATCACTGGAATAATTTTAACAGCTGTCGGACGAGTGGATTAGAAATGACAGCAGTCTGAAGTTGGTGGCAGTTTTTTCATCTCACCCTGTATATGGGGGCAATAAACGTCAAATCGAATGAAGATGTATATCGAAGCTCAATAAAATCTGAATCGATCTCGATAAAATTTGGCAGAAGTATTTTCGAGTAGTATATGATTCCCGGTATCAAATATCATTGTTGTGGAATGCATATACACATGTGAGGGACATTAATACCAAATCTGATGAAACATATACATATAAGTTACAGCTATAAACGAACAAATTTTTAGTACTTGTTTCCGTCCGTAGTGCCACAATTTACCGCATTTGCACTGCTTGTGGCCATTTTGTTTACAATTAACCCGAAATCGGTGGAAGATAGATACGGGAGGTGTATCTAAATTTGAACCGATTCTCACCAATTTCAATAGGGTTCGTCCTTAGGCCAAACAAATATTGTATAAAATAAATGCGACCTCAATTTTGTTCTGAAAAGTACACGGACGGTCGGACAGACGGACTGACATGCATAAAGTGATTCTATGAAGATCCTCAAAAGTAGCTATGGTTCTATCTCGCTACCTTCTCCATGTTATAAACAAATGCACAAAGATATAATACCATTACTAGTATGTCGTGTAGGGTATAAAAATAGTAATATGATTGACTGAATTACTAACTGATGAACGGCCATTCGAAACGACTGAATCTCCGAATACCCCAAAACGAATTTCATTCAAAGAGACATTGAATGAAAACCCGTTATTTGAATGAGATACTTTTTGACCATATTAAATTCTCTGTAGCTATAAGGCAACGGGTATTATACCTAATTGTTTTAAGTGTTCCAAAATTTTTATTGTTTGAAAATTTTAAATTTTTTCAAATGCTCAGCATTTTCTTTCAAATAGAATTCCCTTATATATTTGCCAACATAAATTCCCTCTACACTATGCAAATTAATTTCCCATTCATAGTCCTGAAGCCAAGCACAATTTGAAAACAATAGGGAACTTTATTGTGTCATTTTCCCCAGTTTCTTGTGAGGAAAATAACAACACCAACAATGCCACATACATACATGCATACACACACATTTTGAATTACATTACTGTCAAATGCAAAACAAAAGGCGGGAAATGCTGTGTAAATGAAGTATTTTGGGATGTTCACGAACTATTGTTTTCTTAATGGAAAGGTGCGGTTACTCCGCATTACAACGAGATTTTAGTGTCACATCGTTAGGTTGTTAGTAAAATTTCAAAATTTAGCAGATAATTTTACAAGCAGAAATTATTTGATGGAAAAAATTATATTAAATCGGTTTTAAAAGTTTTGAGTTTATTTAAAGATTTTATAGCTTTACCAAATAATCTTTAAAATATTATTTACGATGTATACCTGCATGTATACCTCCAAATACGTACGATATTGAAGGTATGCGTATACCTAGAACAGAAAGGATTATGGCATTTTTATATTGCTAATATATTTAGTATTATTTAATTATTTTCAAAGAACATTTTATATGCATATACATTTATGTGAACTATATTGAAATGTTAATAATATTGAAATATTACTCAGTTTTATTATTCTTGGAAATTCTTAGGTGGCTGTTAATTAAATATTATATTAATTTTGTATTAACATATACTTGAATATTCCAGGCTGGATAATAATATGAAGTTATTTGTTTAAATCCAATCAATGCTAAAATAAATCAATATTAAATATTAATATTATTATTTAATATTAAAATCGAAGAACACAATTAATTATACTACTAAAAACAGCATTAAGAAGAATGCGAATGTCACCAGAAGTTGTCTTTTTAATGTGACTCATCAAAATAACTGTAGTGTAGTGATCTTTGGACCAAATTCGAGAATGCTCTAAAAATCTTCAAAAAGTAGGTGGTGCTGTTATATGGGTATATTGTAAACACTGGTTTAAACAGCCCACGCACGTTTTTATACCCTACACCACAAGGTGGTCAGGATATTATGTCTTTGTGCATTTGTTTGTAACAGGCAAAAGGAAACGAGATAGACACATAGTTCCTTTTTATGATCTGCATAGAATCACATTCTGAGTTGATTCATACATGTCCGTCCGTCCGTCCGTCCGCTGACATTTTGCACAAATCATTTGTTTGGCCCAAGGACTAACCCTATTGAAATTGGATAATCGGTAAAAATTTAGATATAGCTCCCAAACGTGTAATATCAGCCCGAATAGTATGGAATTTTGCACACACAGCCAAATTAGACCAGAAATAAAGAATGCCAAATTCGATCGAAATCGGTTCAGATATAGCTATAGCTCCAATATATATTGTTCATCCGATTTGTTATTTTATTCCTCCGCAGCCGTAATATGCACTCTGTAACAACAATATTTGCGGAAATATATCAAAAGCAGTTCAGTTTTGATTCAGATTTGAATATAGCTTCGTCCGATTTACTTTCATTGTGCACCAAACTTCTAATATATGCCAAAATAAGATGGAATTTACGACCGAATTGAGGTTTAGAAATAGCTATAGCTCCCTATAGCTATACAGCTCAGAAATATCTTTGCCAAATTTTATTGGGATCGGTTGAGATTTGAATATAGCTCCCATATTTATCAAATGGGCAATACAAGTCCGAATTTAAAAGATACAAATGCTTCGGCATACTTAGTCTTTTGAACTTTAAATTATAATTATAATCATGGCGTGTATGATTGAATTCTCCAATAAAAACGTTTAATTGTTAAGTGGAGCTCTACTAAATTCGCAAAGTGGTGTAGAGTATAATAAAATCGGCCTTAGGACTTTCTTTTCTGGTTTTTTAAAGTATTTTCTTTTAGGAGTACGCGCCGTTCTTTACGAATATTATTCCTCTTCTCATGCCTAGGACATATCATTTCCACTTAAAACTTCTTTAACATATTTAACAAAATCAATTTATGTTATCAAACGTCGGCGGAGTTGCATTTTAAATCTCAAAGGTTTGATTAAATTGAATGCTCAAGACTCTTGTTAATTACACTATTAACGAAAGGAGCCTACAATGCATAACGTAGTCTTTTGTTAACAACTTTTTCCACGAAACCAATTCCTTTAAGATATGCGCTGAAAATACACAGGAATGCACTGAATCTCTCTCCCTCTTTTCCCACAGCCCACTTTCCGCGAACACAAATACGCACTACTTGCATTTTCGAATTCCGCCAAAATATCTTGCGAGATAACGTTGCGGAAACCTCATTGTCGTCACAAATTAAAGTTCAAGTGAAAATAATGAAACAATGACATTGTCGAAGAGAGTAAATACGTATTCTTGTGGGTGTGCAAGTTGGTGTAAAAGTGTGGTCATTTCAGATTTTTAATCTACAAAATGCAAATGTGGTTGTAATTCTCTTAAGTAGTAGTGCATATGAGTCAAGTAAGTTAAGTGATTGGGAACATTTTGATGTCAATGCTGTTATTGAAACTAAAAAGTATCAAACACAAAGAGTTAAACACCGTTAAACAATAACACCGCAGCATACATTTTTATACCCTTCACCTTGGAAAGGAGGGTATATTAACTTTGTCATTCCGTTTGTACCATCCCTAAATATTCGTCGTAGACCCCATAATGTATATAAATTCATAATCAGCATAAAATTCTAGATCGATTTAACGATGTCCGTCTGTCTGTCTGTTGAAATCACGATTATTTGACAAAGACCGTCAAATTATAGCAGAATAATTTTTATTGTGTCTACGATGATTGGTATTGAAAATGAGATATATCGTTCCAAGTTTTGGTATAGTCCCCATATAACAGTACCTCCCGATATTCGGTATTTTGATGATTTTTACCACACTTTTTCACGGATTTATCTGAAAATTGGTAATAGTAGGTCATAAAGGGTCCTAGATTATGTGGTGAAACATTGTATGTATAGGTCCACGCTTTGGTATAGCCCCCAATATAACGGTACCTCCCGATATTCGGTATTTTGATGATTTTTGCCACATTTTTACATGGACTTGTCTAAAAAATTGGTATTTGTAGGTCATAATGGGTCCTAGTTCGTGTGGCGAAACATTGTATGTATAGGTCCACGCTTTGGTATAGCCCCCATATAACGGTACCTCCCGATATTCGGTATTTTGATGGTTATTGCCATATTTGTTCACTGATTTTTCTAAAAAATTGGTACTTGTAGGTCATAATAGGTCCTAGTTCGTGTGGCGGAACATTGTATGTATAGGTCCACGTTTTGGTATAGCCTCCATATAACGGTACCTCGTTACATTATTAACCGGAATTGTTTAAAATTTGGTATTTGAAGTTCGTAATGGGAACTACAGTCTGTGACAGAAAATTGCCTATGCAGGATCATAGGCCCCACATACCAGTACCTACCTGTATTCGGTATTTTAACGAGTTTAGGTACAATACCCACCGAAATTTATTGAGACGCGTATTTGTAGTTCGTAATGTATGCTACAGCCTATGGCAGAAATCTATCTAGTTCAGGTCGCACAGCTCCGATATAACGCTACCTCCTTATATACGATATTTTGATGATTTTTAGCTTCATTATTCAGCGTTTATTTCAAGTTTCGAATTTGAATATGGTAATGACTTATGACAAACAATGCCCATGTAGGTCCATGTCGTATAGACACCAATATAGCGGCAATATTCGGAATTTTAAAAATTTTAACAGATTTTTTATGGATTTTATTTCCAAATCCGTTCCAAATGGTGGAGTGTATTCAAAATTCGGCCAGGCCGAATTTACTGCTTTTTAACTTGTTATTTTTATTTTATTTATTTTTTTTTACGTTTCTATAGCATAATTCAATTTAGAAAAATAGGGGTTATTATTTATTACGAGTTTCAAAAAACCGAATATCTGGTACCTTCATATGGTAGCTAAAGGAACCCGCGAAACAATATGGACAATGTGCTCAAATCCCATTGTTAACGACGAATACCTTACGATACCCCATAAAAAGGTTGGCTAAAGTCGACAAAAAAGAGAATATCCGAGTGTACCATTATATGGGGATATAGGAGAACGTAAGGCTATGTTGGCAATATTATGCCAGAAACTCAAAATGCAAATATAAAATTAAGAGGTACTATTTTGTAGGGACTATGTAGAAAATATTGTATATGTAGAAAGCATTGCTGCAACCCATTTAAAAGTGTTAATTCTAAATTTCAAACACTTATGTGCAAAATTGTAGCTATAATTATAAAAATACCGAATATAGGGAGTTACCGTTATATTTTTGGGCCTTTACGAAGACGTGGACTTGCATACAATTTTTGTCATAAGCCAATACAATATTCATATACAAAATTTGAACCAATTCCGGAGAATAATGTTGCTAGAATCATCAAAACACCCACTATAGAGAGGAACCGTTATGGTTGCTATACGAAGACCTGGACAAGTGTCGCTGAAATTATAAAAATTCCCAATATAGGGAGTTACAGTTATATGGGGCCTATACCGAAACGACATTTGTAATAACAAAAGTCCTGCAGACCAAACACACATCTGAGTAAAATTTTATCAATCTACTTCAATTCGTTCGGAACCTAGAGTGATTTCCTTAGACGGACAGACATTGCTAAATCGACACAGAATCTTTTGCTGATCAAGAATATATATACTTTGTGGAGTCTTAAATGGGTATATCAGTAAGCAAAAAAACCGAATCAATAACTTTAATACACCCTTTGGTGGAGGATATAATTATTATTATAATGATCGCCAGAACTGTATTTCTCATTCATGTAGATGAATTCCAGTAGATTTTGTGATGTACTCTTGGTTAAATACAACAAGTTTAACATTTACATGTTGCGTAACATGTTTTTGTATGTGTGTGTGTCATTTTCGAACGCAGCATATTGCAAGTGAACCATCAACGGACTAACAAAGTTGTTGTCAATAGTTCTTTCAATATCAACAGAATATATGCACGTATGCCTTTGCTGTTTAACCACTTCCAGAAACACACACAGTTGAAACCGACGTGTTCGGCATTCCTTACAACATCTATGCCCCAGTAACAACAACCACAGAGCAGAGGAAGTCTCATGTATTGTGGTTTTATTGCACAATCTATACACAATTTCCTCAATAAAAATGAAAAAAAAAATATTTGCATTAACCTAAAGGAACTTCAGCCTGTCTGGTTAGCCAGCCCACTTCAACTTCAAGGTACTGAACATTGTGACAGTAATCTGATATGGATGTGCATATCTTCATAAATAGCAGTATTCTGAATCATCTGTCAGTTGCTTTTAGTTACTCGAGTTTACATCATGAAATATATAGAGAATATTGAAAGAATACAGATGTGGAAATAGTTTTTTAAATTGAATAAATATAAATGAAATAAATCGACATTTGAAGAGGATAAATTCGTATAATGGGAATCGATTGCTCACATTTTCTTCTATTGATCCTCGAAATTAATAAAATCTGAAGATTCCTATATATGTCCATATACTTCGAAATAAACTTATATTGACATTAACTGCGCAATACTACACCCTAAAAAACCAAATTAATGCTAAATCGATTGGAAAATAGGTATATACAGGGTGCGATGAAAAAACTGCAACGAGCTTCAGACTGCTGTCATTTCGAAGGCACTCGTCCGACAGCTGTTATAATTATTTCAGTGACAGCTCCTTATAATTTAATTTAAAATTTGATGCTATTCCGAAAATTTTTGCATTGATTCAATAACATTTAAAAAAAATTTGATTTACTTTCTGCTAGTCTGAATTCGGTCGGATGTACCAAAATACAGGTCATTTGGACTTATATATGCCATTTGGTGCACAATTAATCCGAAATCCGTTGAAAATATATATCTAAATCTTATCCGATTATCACCAATTTTTATAGGGTTCGTCCTTGGGCCAAACAAATATTGTTGGCAAAGTTTCATCTCAATCGGATAAAAAATGACCCCTGCATTTGGGCTCAAAAATACATGGACGGAAGGAGAGACGGATTGGCATGCATAAATCGACTAAGAAGGTGATTCTATGTAGATCCTCAAAAGTAACTATCTCGCTTCCTTCTCCAGTTACAAACAAATGCTCAAAGACATAATTCCCTTACCACTTTGTGGTGAAGGGTAAAATGATGTTCTGCAAGAGAATTGAATCGAAAAATGTGTTCTTAATATTTGTGTATTCCTGGCATTTAAAATTTTTGATGTATTCATTTTAACAATTTTTTAATTTAATTAATTTTAATTCTCATCAGTAAAATTTCCTTATACTTAAAATGCAAGGATTTTAAAGAATTTTTATAGGAAAATTTAGAAAGAAATTTGGAAGCCGTTGCTTCCGCCTCTCTATTAAAGTTAATTTGCGATGGAAACTTTAAAAACTGGAAAACTGGAATGGAAGACACATTTTTGGCTCTACTTTCACAACCTACTAAGATTTTCCTGTCTGTGTTAAAGAAGTTGAACTTTGTCACACAGTAGTTTTTACAGTCCCTTTGTAAAAAGTTATTTCTGTACATTTTATATCGCAATCAATTGCTTTTATTTTATGTTTCTATATTCTGCCTAAAGATTACTTCATAATAAATTAGAAAACGAAACCGTATCTGCATGACATTGGTCGCAGTTTCCACAAAAAGAGTTTTAGAATTATGATTTAAAAGAGCCGCATCGAAATCATTATAAATTGTTAAGGTTTGGCCGAAAACTGCAGAAATAAATTCATTCGTAGGATTATCGTAGAATTAAGAATGTTAATATAAGGCGGTTGTGTAAGATATAAACAATGGTGTGTTTTTTGAAATGCGTCTTTTTTAGCGTACGAGAAGTATTAAATTTGGTATAGAACAGGGGTAGGCAAAGAGTATCCCATGGGATTCGAATTTTCGGTCAAAATGGTTTTGGTAGAATATTTAGTTCTATTCGAGCAGTCGATGGGGAAGTTGCTGCATGATTTATTTATGAATACACCTATAGAAATATTGACGTACATAAATATAACTTCCAATATATTTTTGCTATCCCAAAAAAAATTAGTTTAATTTATTATTAGTTCTAAATATGTTTTTGTTTCACACATATCTACAAAAATTACTGATTTTCGCGGTCCTCTCATTTATAATTTTTCTTTAAACCATTATCTCAATACCTTAAATATTTATACTCTCCACCATAGTATGGAGGGTACATTAAGTTTGTCCATCCGTTTGTAACCCCTCGACATATACAGTTTAGACCCAAAAAAGTATAAATATTCTTGATCAGCATAA